AAGCCCCCCAAAACTGAGGAATCCCTCTGACTGACGCCCCTTCAGCCCTCGTCCTTTTACGAAGCCCAGTTGGCTCAAAGAAACAGAAGATCCTCAAGTGGTACGTTCCCACCACCTTTCGGTAGAGCACTTGTTTATACGTGTTCCTGTCATCGGCAAATCTGTCGACTCGCTTGGAGGTAGTGAACTCAAAGTGGATGTGTGCTGAGCCACTGACTTAAGGCCGCCCGCTTTTGAGTGGCGTAGCGGTTGGATGTCAATGAGCAGCTATAATCTAGGCGCATTTACCCCATGGGCTTGGTCCATCCAACAATTACCACATCCCCCCACCCTGTCCAACCCATGGTATGACCAAGGTTCCTCCTATCCCCAGGCTGGCTGGTTGACGGTTAGGCTCCCTTTCACCACTTAGATCCTTGATTGCGCGTTTGCCGGCTTGGCCCACCATGCTATGCATGTTTCAGGTCCTTGCCCGTCCCTGCATCTGTGGCTTGGCTCGCTGTGTTTGGGCTGCGACGAAGCTGTCCAAAGCGATTGTTGGTGGCTGATGCCAAGCCTCCCAAGGCTGAGCCACTTGGAGCAGGAGAAGGCCGACCGTCGTGTGGCCCTTGGTTTGGGGCCAGGGCCTCAGCGATTCTTCGACGGGATCAAAGACCTACATGAGGTGGGCCAAATACCATCCAGAAAGGCTCTTCTTGGAGCTTTGCCAGTTCTCGATTAGAACGGCCAGAGAAAACCATAGGCACTGTGAGTGGCGGTTTGACCAACTGAAAAATGGGCCTGAGCCTTGTTGGGTTTCAGCCAAGGAGCAGCGAGGGTGTCTTCTGAAGCGCCTGGCCTCTTGTGCAAGCGCCACATTGCGAAGCAACGAGTGGCCTACATCAAATGCAGAGAGCCGACGCATGGCATTCGTGCTGACCGCCGACATGGTGCAACTCAAAGAGGGGCACCTGAGGGCTGGGGTTTGATGTGAAGTCCTGGCCATAGTGATGGTAGTGAACAGGACCATCATGATCAACACCCAGCAAACCGCGGCAAGGCGTAGTTGAAATTGAGTCGGTTGGGACGGGCCTGTGCAAAAGGCAAGGCGAGAGCTTTCGGGTTTGCGGCACTTTGTTGGCGGCCCAAATCCGTGACCATTCTGGTAAAACGACGCTTTTGGACGCATTTGCTTGCTTCGTGTCAGTTAATTATCCAGTTCTGCTTCGACTCTCAAATTGTCAGTTGTCCGGTATGTTGGCACAGGTCGGCACCTGGATTGAAAGTACAAGACGCGCTTCTTGACGCTATTCGGCGGTCAAAGGGGGGCTCAATACTGTTTGTTCTCGCTCGGCAGTACTGCATTTTTTCTTTTTTCTCACCTTCCTAGGGTCCATGAGGAATCTCATATGTCTCAACTTGTGTGAGGCCAGTGCTCTCGTTTAGTTGGGTCATGTTGCGTCCTTTTCGGGTGATGTCACTTTCTGCTGACACACCTTCGGATTTGCAAGGGCTTTAGCCATTTGCCTTGGTCCAGGTGGTTGGCACTGGAGATGCCCCCGTGAAAGGGCAGACGGTGCGCGTGCCCTTGCCTCAGACCTTTGGCGACCAGGTCGTACCCTTTGTCAGTTGTTCCATTGGCATGTTGGGGTTGATGTTAATGTGCGACTGGGCACCAAAATGGACCACAGATTTCAGGGACATGAGCACCAGAAGTGATGCAATGAGAGTTTTGTTACCAGTGGTTGGCTGCAGTGGTGCTTGTGTGGAAGTGACAGCCTGTAGCACACCAAGGCCATTTATCAGCCAGTCATTGAGACAGACAGATAGGCCCGAACTGACCCCACACCACCGCTAGACCTGTTTTGGAACTACTGCGTCACCCTAGGCCTCAACCAAACCAACCAAACCCTCAACCTGTCACACTATCCCCTTCCGACCCCCACGCCAAATCAAGGGCGCCCAAATGGAAGGCTGCCCCAACAGGTAATAACCTATGAAAGCAGTTCACGCAAATTGCTGCCCATGTTCTGGCTGAGGCACTACACTGGGACCTTGGAAAATGGTAAGGCCGGGTGTGGGCTGTCAGGCAGAGGCGGGACAGGCACATGGATCTCTAAAGTTAAAGGCCAGCCGAACATGGACAACAACTCCATGACAGCCTTTTCACAGAGGAACCCAGAACCCTGCATACCTTGACAGTGCCTGAGAGGTGTTCGACTCCTCGCTCTCCAGGGGCCCGGCGCTCAGGGCGACGGACCTCCAACCGCGGCCAGCATGGGTTCCTGACACTGGGCCTAGGGGGCTCGTTGTTTGTGAGTTGTTTGATTTGCCTGCCTGTACGCATGCGTGTTTGCATTTCATACTGGACCCATTCTTGGCTTTTTCGCTGGTGCGCTGGCCGCATGTGTATGCCACAGGTAGGGGCAAGCAACACAACGACCTCAAAGCGTTTGCCAGCATTAAAGCAGAAGTACATGTCAGCAGATTGTGTGAGAGCCTGCTCCAGTGGCTCATTGCTTGCGCTAGCTTGTTTCAAGCCAATCACACTTCAGAACTCAGAACTGACAGAGATCTTTCCAAAGTCCCTGGAACCCATAGCTTAACATAAACTCTCAAGACTAGACGGTCACAGTTTTGACTTTCAGCTTGAACTGGCTCCCAAACTACATGGCGGTGCCGACCCGAAAAGCAAGAGTCGAACTCAACTGCCTGTGCGTGTGAATGAATTTGTATCAGCTATGGCTTGCTTCGTTTTCATCCCATCGCCTTGTTTTGCATAAATGCATTTTCAGCATGTTAAAATTGGATGCTGCCATCACGATTCTATCCGCATGACTTGCTGCTCTTCTGAGGGTCCCCTATGTTCCTCAGGTGCTCAGGGTGCCCAGCGTCCCATCACCAACGTACTAGCTAATTGATACCTTGGCCCATCGATTCAGTCCCACCTGGGAAATATAGGCCCAACACCCCCTCCATTCATTGTTCCCTTGCATCAAAGGGACTGCTGGAGGACCTTTGAATTGGTGGCGTGTTTCTTTCTGGGCCCTCAGCCGTCACATTCTTCTCAAACCTGCGCCGAGATCCCTTGGAGTTCCCTGTGGGCACTGGCCAGGCACGGGGCCCAACACCTCTGAGCACACACATAGCATCCTCCCAACAATTCTTCTCAACTAGTTGTTGACCCGTGCTGAAACCAAAAAGGAAGGACAGGAAGGAAGGCAGGAAAGCAGGAAGGCGGAAAGGCAGGAAGGCAGGAAGGCAGGAAGGACGGGTGTCCGCAATATCATGATGCCCAAGGCATGACAAGAGCGAGCTTCCTCGCTCATGAGGAGCATGCGTGTGGGAGGCTCCGACTTTCACCCTTCACCTCCACGCCATAAGACATGATGGCGCTGGAATTGTTTTCCATCAGCACGAGCACTCCCAATGCCGATGCTAGCTGATCTTTAGGCAGGAGCCCGTCCTTGGCATCACTGCAGCATGACTGCACTTAGGTGATTCCTCACTGCAGCATGACTGCACTTAGGTGATTCCTGGCTGGGATGAGGGCATCCTCTCCATGAAGGTCGGTGGCAAAAGGCAAGCTGCCAGCAGAACCGAGGGCATTCGTTTGACCAAAGTTCTTAGAAGAAGCAGATTGGCCACGTTGAGCATCGCTTTGAGCTAAAGTTCACCTGTTGTTTCGGGATGCTTCTGATTTGGGGTGGGCCAGCTATCAGCACTAGTTATGACACAAAGTGGCGGAGTGCACGACAGTTCAGATAGCCAACAACGTCTATGCTGCAACCACTTGTGCAGAGGGTGCAGGTGAGGACTGTCAACCTGTGCTGCAATTGGCACACGGGCAAAGACAATACACAAAACTCTTTGCAAGGCTGTTGAGTGCGGAGTGGGTGGCTCCTGTGCCAGGCAGCTGAAGATCCCGCCCAAGCTGGGCTATGGGAGTAGGGGCGTGGGCGCGAAACCCCGGAACTGACGTGTTGCGGACTTTGAAGGCTGCGACTTGATGATATGAACCAATCATCGCAACACAGGTCAGAATGATCTCGTAGTGGGGCCGGGCTGACCTATCACAATGGGTTGCTGTCAGTATGAGTTTTGGAAGGGCATTTCAGAAGTAGCTCATGGCTGGCAGGTTTATACTCTCTAATCGCAAAAGCCGCAAAGAAAGCGTGCAAGCTTTGGGCAGGTGTCCCAACTCTGAAACACGTTTGCCTTGCAACTTGTAGGCTTTAAGTCACTTTGATTTCAGCACACTGATGTTCCCTTGGGCGTGGGCGAAAGATAACCTGGCAACAGGCAGACAGCTGAGGCCCAATCCCCGGCAACGCGACCCTGCTCTTCGACTGCGAGCTCGTTGCTCTAGGGTCCAAGCGCTGGCCCTAGAGCCACCGCAGCTGGCCACTGAAGTGAGCAAACTGGCCGAAAAAAAATAAAAAGAGGTGAAACAGGCCGCTTCTCAAGCAATTGCCGGAGGCCAGTTCTCAAGTGGCGTTCGGAAGGGACTTTGGGGCCCTTCGGGCTCGGCCAACATGCCAGTGTATTTGAAGTCTTTTGGGCTCTGACCCCGAACTCCTGACACGGCCATTCAGTTCGGGAAACTCCTGGGCCAGGGATGAGTCAGGACTCGGCCCGGCGATCATTTTGGCAGTGCTGTGGGCACAAAATCGTCGCACCAAGCCTTGTGGGATGGCTCGGAGCTGAAAATGGGAAGATGCCGGCACCCGAATGTATTGGGTTTCACCAATCCGACATGGAGCCCCCCTACAACATCTCAGAGCTTTGGTGATCATGAATAGATAGACGCTGCCAAAACCTTGTTGCGTCCATGCACGTTCAATCACGGCAAGGAGTTTCCAAGGCTGACTGGCTTCAATGCATGGAAGCAACATTTCACGATATGCCGTGCCAAGCGCAGCAAGACCCAAAAGGAAGCATCAGAAGCCGTCAAGGGTGAACAAGGACCAGCAACTGGCAGAATGTGCGCCTTCAAAAGGTTCAGATCTATCAACTGGCCTCAAGCCGTAGATATGGCAGCCGTCAGATGATCCCCGACCATGCGGGAGAAGTCACGCACGCCGCGGGTTGCGTGGGGCATCCTCAAGAAGGACACTCGCGGAAAAGTTGGCACACTTGGCTGGGTCTGCCTGAGAAGGCAAGTTACTTTATTCTCAACTCTCTTTTTAAAGGGGGGGGTGACAGCATTTGGGAAGGCATGTTGGTTTACAGCACGATCGCCCGTGTTGGAGCCAATTGCGGCACGGTCGCTTTTCTTTGGCATACTGCCGCGAATTGTATCAGAGTGTAGGGAAGCAAAATGGTCTGTGGTACCTTTGCGCAAGGAAGCGCAAGCGGTCAGTGATGATGTGTTGGAATGTTGGGCCAGGGCTCGGAACCCCTTGCCCTCGGCTCCTGTTCACAGGAGCTCCTAGGCATCTTCAAGAAGCCCTGATTCCAATTTCGCAAGGCTGCCACTTATTGTGACCGTTGGAACGACACGCCACCATGTTGTTTTTGGCTTTAGCCTAGATTTTTTCAATGGCGGGGCCCGGACCCTGGCTGATGCAAGATCGGGCATCCGTTGATTTCTTTGTTTTCCATTGTTTGCGTGTGGCCAGGCGGCAAAATGCGAACGCGTCCTTCGGGCGTTTCCCCCCCGAGCGCAGCTTTGTGCACGGCCGTGCCTCAGGAGCTGCACCCGGGCTGCCAGGTGAGGCTCAAGGCGCTGCACGTGCAGCGCAACGGGCAGGTGGGCGTTGTCGAGGACTACGTGCCGGCGCGGCAGAGGTGGAGGGTGAGGCCGGGGGTGGCCAGGCGTGCGTTCACTCTTGCCAGCTGATGGCTCTAGGCCAACTCGCCTTTGCGTCAGCCAGCCCCCAGTCAGCCAAACTGCACTGCTTTGGCGAATTGGCTGCGACTGGGCCCTCAACTTTTCACAAAGGACGGCTGTGTTCGAGCATGCGCTCGCCACTGCATGCCGTGCAGGTTGGGCAGCGGCAAGTGCCACGACTTCAAGGCGGAGAATCTGGAGTTGGAGGCGCCCGCAGATCGGCCCCCGCCTGACGACTGGGTGGGGCCCTCCACTGGGCCAGAGCTGCAGGCTCCACAGGCCTACAAGGACTTTAAGGACAGGCTGCCTTTTTTGGATGAACCGCTTCATGTGTTATTGTGAGCTTGCAATGTTGGCGTTGCTTGCCTGATCTCAAACCTATGTGGAACCATTCCACAAGCGCATCGAAATGGACATGCCGGTCTGAGATCATGTTACATAAACACGCCTTTTGCCAGCATGTTCGCTCCGCTTGCTGGCCCCGCGCTGGCTGGCCCCAAGGAGGAGGAAGGGAAGACCCCAGCGGTTCCCACAATTTCTGCGGGGTGCTTGGTGGTTCTGCATGGGCTGAAGACTGCCGAGCTGAACGACCAGAAAGGGGAGGTGGCGCTGGGCGGAGGGGCGTGGCCAAGTCAGGAACCAACCTTTTTTTTTCAAAAGGCCCCTTCGCGGATTGCGTCTGTTGGAGGAGACAGGGTGAGACACGACATGAGATCTGCCAAGCTCAGATTCTTGGCCGTTCAGGCGGAGGCCTTCATGCAGGACTCGGGCAGGTGGCGGGTGAAGCTGGCCAGCGGGGCGGTCAAGGATCTGAAGCCCGAGAATCTGCGGGTGCTGGAGGCCAAAGAGCTTCAGGCCGAATCCCCGAACGGAAACTTCAAGGGCTCGCCTGGATCCCCATTTTTTTGCAATCAAGAACGTACTGGGTTGCAGAGAAACCCGGTTAGCAGAAGTTGGGCTGGTTTGGCAACCATGGCTGTTTGGTGTAGTGATAGGATGATGTTGGGAAGCGGCAATTGTGAAGGGGGTGTTGTTCAGGCCTCCCAGGTTGGTGCCTTCATACCAGCAAACTGCTGGAAGGGAAGGTCTCCTTCTTTGCTGTTGGAGGATGGCAGGGGTTGAGCGCCAGCTCCGGATGGCGTGAGACGAAGCCCCTGACTGGGCTCGCATGTGAGCGTTTTAAGCCGAGCATTTTGGATCCAAAGAGGCCAGCTACAGCGATTCGAATGCACTCCCTGCTTGATTCGGGGAGCCCCTTTTGGCTGATTCAAAGGTGGGGCCCATTGTCATGTTGAGATCAATGGGCAGCAGGTCTTCTCGGAGTTGGCTGCACTCGAGGCGGACTTGGACGACTTCCAGGTGGAATCCTTTGGTGTAAAACCTTTGGGTTCTTGTGGCGAGTTATTTTAGCAAACTCGAAACATCCATATCTTGCATTTGTGTGTGTGTGTGTCAAAGAATGGTGGGCAGGTTTGAAGCAACCCATGGGCGCCGGTCGAAGCAAAGGGGTGTCGTTGCCATTGCCATGTGCCAGCTTGCAGTCCATGTGTCAGAGGTCTCCAAGGGCGATCGCTGCGGGCCCGGCAACCGCTTTGTCATCGAGGAGAAGCTCGGGGAAGGCCTTGAGTTTACGTTTACCTTTTTCCCTTGTTTGAAGTTTTGAAGTTAGTCCGGGTGCGGTTGTCGTG